GCATATAGCTCTTTGAGTTAATGTTTTCATTTTCTTTGGATGAATACCCAGAAATGAAATTGTTGGACCATATTGTAGTTTTTTAAAAATATTTTGAGGAAGTTCCATGCTGTTTTCCGTAGTGGCCGTGCCAATTTACAGTCCCACCACCAGTGCACAAAGGTCGCCTTTTCTTCACATCTTTACCGACGTGTGGTATATCCAGTCTTTTTGATAATAGTCTTTCTAACAGGTGTGAGTGATCTCTCATGCGGTTTTGGTTTGCATTTCTCTGATGATTAGTGATGTTAAACATCTTTTCATGGACCTGTTGGCCATCTTCTGGCTTCTCCGAAAAAAATGTCTATTCAGACTCCTTTCTTCCCTTTCCTCCCTCTCCAACTTAGAAGCCATGGCTCAACATTTTAATCTCTTTCAAAAATACCCTACACCCCCCTACCCTCTGAATATCTATCTCATATTTTTGGAAAAACTCTAACTTTGGATGAATCCAACCATCTGTCTTCACCATGTCAGTTTCCAGGCAGCTGAGTCTCACTGGAAAATAACAGAGAGCAGGCCAGGGGCGGTTGGGTATAAGCAGGGTTATGCTCATAATATCACTTAGCTTGTTAAGTGTTAGCTTTTGGGCAGTCATAGTTCAGTTACCTGCATTCAGATAAAGGAGGAAGCCGTGGACCCCCAAAGTGTCATGTATATATGTGTACTACACCCCCACACACATATCCTATACAAATCAGGTTTATTGAAATATAATTTGCATGTAGAATTTGACCTTTTCAGTAAATAGTTCTATGCACACAATCATGTAACTCCCATCCCAATCAAGACGTTGAGTATTTTCATCACCCTCTCCCCCAAATTTCCCTCATACTTCCTCTTTGCAGTCAGTCCCCAAGCCCTGACAGCCACCAATCTGTCTTCTGTCCCTACAGTTTTGTCTTATGTCTAAAATGCCATATACATGGAATCATATAGTATGTACCCTCTTGAGTCTGGGTTCTTTCCCTTAGCATAATGCATTTGAGATTGAACCATGGTGTTGCACAAAACAGCAGTTTTTAAAATTTCTATCACTGGGTAGTATTCCATTATATGCATGTACCTATCATAGTTCTCCATTAACCAGTTGGAGCGTATTTAAGGTATTTCCAGTTTTTGATGGTTATGAATAAACCTGCTGTAAACATTCATGTGAGTGTAAATTTTCTTTTCTCTTGAGTAAATACCTAGAACTGGTATTGCTGGGTCATATGTTAACTGCTAAATTGTTTTCCTAAGGGGTTGTACTATTTTGTATCCCCATTAGCAATGTAGGATGCTCTGCATGCTGTCAGCACTTGGTACTGTCAGTTTTTAAAATTTTGTCCATTCCAATAGGTGTGCAGTGCTATCTCATTGTTGTTTTAATTTTATATTTTCTTAATGACTAACGATGTTGAACATCTTTAAAGGAACTTATATATCATCCACCAAAGATGGGTAATATTTACTTATTGGTCAGGTGCGTGTTCAATCTTTTGCCCATTGTAGAAAGTGGGTTGTTATTTTCTTGTTATCGTGTTTGGAAGTTTAAAAAATATATATGGATGTATTTTTAATGTATAATCAAATATATCAAATTTAATATATTTATCAAATACATGTTTTGCAAATATTTTTTTCCCAGTCTGTGGCTTGCCTGGCTTGCTTTCTCATTTTCTTAACAGTGTCTTTTGAAGAACTAAAGTTTAAAATTTTGATGAAGTCCAATTTATCTTTTTTTTCCTTTATAGATCATGCTTCTTGTATTGTATGTAAGAATTTTTTGCCTAACACAAGTTCATGAGGATTTTCTCCTATGTTTTCTTCTAGAAATCTAAAACTGGAGGTTTACATTTACATTATTGTACGTTTTGAGTTAATATTTTGTAAATGGTGTGAAGTATGGATTGAAGTTCATTTTTTTGCATATGAATATCCAATTGTTCCAAAACCATTTTTTGAGAAGGTTCTATACTAAATGACTTTTGCAATTTTGTAAAGAATCGGTTGACTATAATGTGTGAGCTTTTTTCTGGACTTTCTATTCTGTTCTGTTAATCTATGTATCCTTCCTTTACCAACTTGATTACTGTAGCATTATAGTAAATATTGAAATCAATTTAGTGTGAATTTGCCAACATTATTCTTTATTATTGAAATTGGTTGTGACTATTCTAGTTCCTCTGCTTTTTCATACAAAATTTAGGGTCATTGAGTCCACTTATATAATATATCCTGGTAGAATTGAGTGAGATTGTATTGAGTTTATAAAACAAACAGCTGAGAACTGTAACAATATTGAATCCATGTACATCGTATATCTCTCCATTCATTTAGGTCCTTTTTGCTTTTCGTTTTCAGCACATAGATCTTGTACATATTTTGTTTGCTTTATGATGAGGCACTTTATGCTTTTAGGTACTATTAAAATAGTATTTTTTCTATTTCAATTTTCAATTGTTCATTGCCAGTATAAAAATATTATTGATTTTTGTATATTGATCATGTAGCTTGTGATCTTGCTAAACTCACATGGTATAGCTTTTTTTCTGGGATAGACTTTAGGATTTTCTATTCTGACAATCCTGTTGTCTGTGAATGGAGATAGTTCTTTCTTTATTCTTTTTCAATATGTATGCCTAATATTTGTATGGTTTAAACTACTATTTCACTTAGAATATTTCCTTCTTAGAGAAATATTTTAATAAGATTAAGTCTTTGCCAAATTGGCTTTCTGGATTACTAAAAGGGGTTAGAGCCTAAATTAGATGCTCATCTATGCGGACAGTCTTTATAATTTTCATTCTTCAAAGCTGTGCTACAGGAAGATGACTAGGACATTTTATATAGGGTTTGACTTTGTGTAATAATTACCTGTTAGTTTCCTGTTTTGAATTGGTCAGTGGGAATGATGTGCAGAGTATTTCACGTAGGCAAAGAAGTCCCCTCCTGTGTCTGCAGAATCGTCATTATCGTCAGCGCTAGGGAGGCTTTGCATAGCCCTTTGACTTAAGAGCCTTCACACTTCTTGCTGATCAGATGGCCGGCCACCTCCCCCCTTGGTTCATCTGGCACTTCCACTGCTACATTTCAGACACAAGGGTGTGCATGCCTCTTGCTGGAGTGTGCCTCGGTCTGACTCAGGGCTTGGCTGACCTTATTGACTGAATAAGACCTATAAATGCAACCTAGCTGTCATTCTGGTGCAGCGGGAAGGGCAAGGACTCTGATATGTGGGTTTGAGTCTGAGCTCTTCTGTCAAAGTTATTCTTTTAAAGCTTTTTTTTTTTCCCATCTGTAAAATGAGGATATCTTCCTCATTAGTTATCATCATAAAGTGCTTAGTTCATCATCTCATGCTCTTAGGTAAGTTGATCATTTAATAGATACATTGTGTCGTTTAATCTTGGCCACTAGCGGATCCTCCCTAACTCCATTGCTTCCTCTGGTTGAATGGGAGTTTAGGGGCTGTTGCTGCACAAATTGTCCATGCTCAGTGGTATCCATGTGGCTGCCCTTGCCAGTGGAGTGCTAATTAAAAAATTAGCTCACACCATCTAAGATGCCACAGTGGCTGATTGCAGTGCTACCTGCACAGGGTGATGCCTGGCATCTGTGGGCTTCCATGTGAGTGCCAGCACCCAGCGTTTGGATCTAGTGTGATTTATGGGGAGGTCTAATAGGAACGGGCAGTCCCACGTCTGGAGATCAGGGAGGCAATTCAGCAAATGTAAAGAGATTCTCTTCTCAAATTTCAAGGGATGCATTCCAACCTTCTCAGGCTGCAATTCATTCTACAAGTTTCAGTAACGTATTTCTTCACTTATTTTTCTCGGTATCCAGCCTTGTTAGCTTGATATATAATTTGGGGTTTGGGGAAATGTTATTGCTAACACCTAAATATGAACTTTATTTCTAATTTTTAACTACCCCCTCCCCAAATTATAGGAAAAGCTGTGTTTCTCAAACGCTTAGTTTTCAGTGTAAAAGTATGGTACATTCCCAATGCATGTATCTTGATGGGTTTTTTTTTTCTCATTTGTGTTTTGAAATTAAGAACTCTGATGACGTTCCGAAATTATTTGACATGGCCTCATTTCCACGGTGGCCACATAGAGTTCTGCTGTCTAAATAAATTGTGGTTCATATAATGCAGCCCCTCTGTTGGAGAGCAAGTTTGCAAGCAATTGTCCAGGGCCGCATATTTATAATGTGTGTGTGTATGTGTGTGTGTGTTTAAGTTTCTTTATTTCTTTATTTTTGAGAGAGAGAGAGAGAACACACGCATAAGCAGGGGAGGCGAAGAGAGAGAGGGAAAGAGAGAACCCAAGCAGACTCCATGCTGTCAGCACAGAGCCTGCTGTGGGGCTTGATCCCATGAACCACAAGATCATTACCTGAGTCAAAATCAAGAGTCGGATGCTTAATGGACTGAGCCTCCCATTTGCACCTACAATGTTTTTACTGGTGGTGTTCATCTCCTTGAACACAGTCTGTTCCCCTCAAAATAGAAACATGTCAATATGGTCACAATTTCATAATGTGAGTTCATATACCCTAAGCGTATATATGTATACATTCATTTCTTTATGTCTATGGTCAGTAAAACTAGGGTGGTTTTTTTTTTTTTTTTTTTTTTTTTTTTTAAGGAAAGCAGTAATATTTTGATTTCCTTTCTGGTTTTATGTGTTTTAAAATTGTCTGCAATGATTAAACAGAAAAGCAACAATTATTGTACATAAAAATAGAAGAACTTTAAAAGAATATCTTTTTCCTAAGCCAGGCCAGGAAAAAAAATTATATTATTTTGGCCAGATACAACCAGAATTGGGGAATTGAGAAAAGGGATTCTAAGGTTAGATTTCCCAGGAGAGTGATAACCCCAAAGGTAGTCTACAAATTGTTAACTGAGCACAGAGAGAGTGTTTGTTCATCACTTAGCAACACTGTGGATTTTGTTTCTTTTTGTAAACCAGATTGAAAAGGAAGAGCAAGCCGGCCCCACGGAAGAAGTGAGGGAGCAGTTTCCAGCGAATGGACCACCTCAGCACCTGGACTCGCTGCCTCTTGACCCGTGTGCCCTTGGGCAAGTTATCTGGCTTCCAGTATGATGCAGGGACAGACCCCTGCCGACGCGGCAACTGGTGACGCCCACAGTCCCCTTGGTGTGGGGGCCGCCGGGCAGCCCACCTGGAGGTGAGAGGGGGCATCTCTGTGCGTCAGGCTCCAGTTGGTGGGTCGCAGCAGTGCCCCTTGGGCTCCCGAGCTCAGTGCATGGCTTGTATGGTCTCAGCTGCAGTCTCTTCTCCCTGAGAACGTGCACAGGCTTTCAAGGCCTTTAGAGCAAGATGGTCAAGTGCCCGCCCTTTTACCATCCTCCAATATCTGTTCTCCTTGCTCTCCGGCATCTTGTCCCCTAATCTGACTTTTGATCCTTGACCTTCTTTGTAATTAATCCTCTGCTTGGTTCCTCCCTTCCCCTAAATCCCTGGGGAGGGCTGAATCCCTCTATTCTCACCCTGGCTGGTGCCTCCACATACTACAGTGGGGTCAGACAAAATAGGGGAGGAGAATTAAGTGTGGGACAGGAGAGGAGGTTAGGGTAGATAAGCAGTCCAACGCTTCTCCGCTATGTGGGAGGTCATCCCAGGGTATGTGAAAGTCTGAACCTAATTATAATAGAGTAGGGTTAGGGGTTGACTTCTCATCTCTGATTTGCTCCCACTATCACAGAAAGAACTTTGACCTCGAGTTGGGATCTCCATCGGGGACATAGGAAATAATCCCCTGACTCTGCCTTGGTTAGATCACATCCCCCCCCCACACACACACACAAACATACACATGCACACACACACACATGCGTGCACACTTGGTGGGGGTTGCCCCTGGGTTAAATGGAGGATTTTCAGATCCTCTTGCTTTTCTGTGAGTTGGTTTGTGTGTTTGTGTGTATGTTGAGAAACTTGACTTTGGGGGAATACTCTTGGGCTTTCACTTTCTTTCCCAGGCACCAATACTAGAAAGACCCCCAAGTCTCATTTCAATCCCATGCCCCCTGGGGGCTCCGACCACTGAATCTGATTATGAGAGAAGACTGCACACTAACAGACTCCCTTCAGGGTCCTGATCTTGACTTAGGGTTCCACCATTTGCCCAGCAGTGGCCTTGAAGGAGCCTCTCTTGGATCACTTTCCCTACTCACCTCAGAGTCGGGGGAAGGAAGGAGAGGCATTGGGGTGGGCTCATCTCTCTTGAGGCCCCAGCGGGGTCTACTCCAGTAGCCAGCCTTGCTTGTTTTAAGCCCAAGCTTTGTTGATCTGTCTGTTGGCTTTAAAGTTGGGACTGAAGGATGCCAAACACAGGCAATAGATCCAAGCTCAACTCCTCCTTAACCCTTCTAATGCTTTTCTATTAGGAGGCCAGTGGAGGGGGGATGGAGTCATGACCCAGCCCCTAGGCTCTGAGGCTCACTGCCTTCCAGGTCTGACCCACCCCACTTGCGATTCAGAAGCCCTTTCCCTCCCCAGCAAAGCCACAGTCTCCTATCTTCTTCCTGTTCTTTCCTTCTGTCTGTGTAAACAGCATGTTGTCATAGCTGCTCAGCGCGTGTACTCATTCAGGTCTCTGTTCTTACCGTGCGCCCTGCTGTGATGCTCTGGCCCAAGATCTCTGCCCTGGCGACTTCAGCTCAAACATCATCTCCGAGATGTTTCCCTTGGAAACCCACTGTGGTTTCCATGGTTACTCTCCATCCTCATCACTTTAGTTTCGTTAGTTGTGTTTGCCTTCAAAGCACTTATCACCCTCAGGAATTGTCGTGTTCATTTATTTGCTTGTTTACTGCTTGGCTGTCCTTCTGCTTGTAATGTAACTTTCAGGATCACCAACACCTGTTTCCTGCCACATCCTCAGTTTGCAGCACGAGGAGGAACTCAATAAACACTTGTTGACGGAATCGACGTTTGCTTGTTGTTTTTTAAATAGGAATGATTTTGCAAAAGCTTAGATACTTTTGAAAAGCCACAGGCGTCTATTGGGTCTAGCAACAAGAGGTCATTTGTGGCATTTTAGGGCACTCTTGGTACTCCAAGGTAGGAGGCAATTTGACCTTGAAGGGAAGCAAAGGATAGAGCCGTGGCTGGGGTGCTCCATGAACTCAGGGGACGCTGGATCATGGTGAAGCCTGCTGGGAAGGGAATAGCAGAGTGGGTGGGTGAAGGAGGAGGAGGTACTGAGGGAGTCAAGAGTGGAAGAGAAAGGAGGGAGGGTCTGGGGCCCAGATGAGGAGGTCAGGCATGGAGCAGGGGTCCCGTTTCAGTGGGAAAAGGGGAAGGAGGAAAGGGATGTGTAGATTCTGGTAGGTTTGCAGGGTCAGTGGCAGGAATTTGAGGCAGTTCCTGCCTGTGGCTTTGATTTTGTCTTGAAGTCGGAGGCGAAGTGATCTCTTCATAACGGGGTTGGTGGTAGTGTCAGGGGTCAGAGATACTAGGATGGTGGAGATTATAAAGAGATTATAATTATAAAGAGATTACTTCATCTCAGGTTTTTGAAATATTTTTTAAGAACCCTTTATCTAGAGGAATTTAATATTAATTAATTAAACTAACAACTTGAGGCAACTTTCGGCCACTAAGTCATTGCCTACAACTTCATATTTAGATGTAAATCCTAGATCTAAACTTGAGTCCCATACGGTCCCGGATGGAAGGTGAAGGAACAGGAGAGGGAAAGGCAGAGTGTAATCTCCTTGAGGAACAAAGAATCCCAGGAATCTTGCACGATGGGAAGCTGCAAAAGCTCTTGACCAATCACAGCAGGATGGTGCCGTGCTGTGAGACAGTCATTTGCTGAATGTCCATCTGGACTCTGTTCTAACACCAGAGAGATGTGGAGACTCGGGCCTGGAAGGGCCCAAGGAACCTTCTGGACTGACTCCATAGCACATGTGTCAGTCTTGTTAATAATACCATTAACAGGTACTTACTAACTCTGCTTAAACAAAATGAAGTGTTCTTACTGGATTAAGATAATTCCTTGACCTGGAAGTACAGTGTGTAGTTGTAACTCGGAAAGATTGTGCGTACTCACCTTTCTTGTTTGTAACACGGGGACACACTTGTAGGAGTGTTGGTTAAGGGTAATGATACAAATAACTTCTTTCTGATAAATATCAACTCTACATCCATCCTATCCTGCATAGTGTTTTGCATTTGTCAATGGCTGCCATGACACCATGACCTTGGCCTTTTTGCTATCATGCTGCAGTCTAGAAATTTCCAAACTGAGCTCGGTAGAGCCCTGGGGTGCCTGGGGTACCATGTTATGAGATGAGAAGGAGGTGGAGCCAATGTAGCTCCAATCTGCATCCTCACATCAGTGAAGGCAGGTTTTTAGGGTCTCTGTTGACTTCTAATTTTATATAGATAAACAGTTGCTCTGGGATAAAATAGTCTGACAATCTTCACTGTCATGACTAAAAGCAAATACTGATAAAAATAATTATGTGATTTTCTATGTGATTTATTAAATCAAAGAGTGTACTATTTGGCATTACATCATAGGTTTGAGGTTAGCTGACTGGTATTTCAGTCACGACTTTTTTCCTAGGCAACAATTCACCCACCACCAGGTTGAGTGTTTTGACTATTGACCAACTGGCTGGGTTTATCCAAAGTGCGAATGAGCAGAAGTACTAGATTAGCAGAGAGTCTTGATAATTATACCTGTATTTTCGTTTTTAGCAAATTTATGGGAAAGTATTATATTCGACTTGGTACTAAAAATCCATTTCTGTTGCCTAAACTATGTGAACTAAGTAGACTACATTAATAATACATAAAATAAGTTTGCAGAGAGTGGAGACAATGGGAAGATGTAGTGTAAGGGTGGGAAAGTCATGGTGGTCTTCCTAGCGAATCAAATACCTATCAGATTTGAATCATTTGGTTCAAAAAGATCCTTGAACGATAGAACTAAGTTCTAAAATAGTGTTAAATCTAAGTCCCAAAGTAATATTCACATTGGATTTTGAAGCACATTCACTTTCCTAACAGTCCATTCATAACCTCAGGCTGAAGGCTGTGGGGCCCAGGGGTGGTATCTGGAGAGACTGGTGCCTTTCCTTCTAGAACCCAAAGGCCGTAAGTATTTTGTAGAGAGAAAAGTAGATAATCTCAAGTAAGTAGGGTCTAGAAAAGAGGTACTTTTACCGCAAGAAGGTCTAGGTTTCTAAGGTTTCCTTAGTTAGGAGATGTAAGCTCACCAGGAGGAAAGGTTGGGAGTGTCTGGGTCCACGTTTGAGAAGGTGGCGGTGGTGATGGCGGTTGGAAGCCTGTCATGTGTTGATTACTGACGGATATCCCTGATAAAGACTGGAAGTTATTTGCATCAGCACTAGTCAAACCAGCCCTCCCTGCTGAAAGTGAGAGATAGTGGGTGGGTCTTAGTTAATGAAGCCTCTAGGGCCAATATTAGAGGCAGATACATGAACAGATACTGAAAATGGCCTCTTGGCCCAGGTGGTGTCCACACACAGCCCTCTGTTGACCTCTGTTTGATTCATGCCGCAGGGGAGCCATCCCTATCGTGACGGCCATCGGGGAGGTTTGGGTAGTCAGTCTTGCAGTGGGTGTGAGACTCAGTAGACGCTGTGGCAACTTTTCATCAAGGAAATGATGTTGCATGAAGACCAGAGGGTTAGGTTTTCCTGACGCTTCATAGGTTACCCAGGTGGCGGCCCATTCACGGCTAATTCGGTCGTAGGCACGTCTCTTCCATAGGAGGGAAACGGCGGACGCCACAGTGGGAGCAGCCTGCCCCGGTGCTCACAGGGAATGTCCCATGGGAGCCAGACGCAGGCCTCTAATTGATAGGAGCTACTGCATGATCTTCCTGGGTTTGGTCTTATTTCTGAGATCTCTGAAGTAGGCCAGTCTCCAGGGTTGTTTTCTACAATTCCTGTCTAAGGAATAAATCTTAATGCATCGAAAGGAAACAGCCTGCTATCCGAGGCTTTCTTTACCCCCACACAGTGATCCAACGGATTGCTACATATCTATTTTCACTATATTCCTCCTCTGTTTCTTGTAAACATCCCCTTCTGCAGCTGACAGCCTCTGGGCTTTCTCTCTGGCTTCTAAGCTTTCTGAGTCAGACCCTCGAACGGGTTCTTGGTTTTCTGCTGATAAAGATCATTAAGGATCGCTACTGCCAGCTGCAAGATTTTGCATTTAATTTTCAACTAGAGCTTTGGCTACAAGCAGTAAAAAAAGAAAAGAATGATTTTCCAACTTTTGTCCTCCAGCTGACACCTCATTACTTGGCTTGGAATATAAATGGTGTCTGCTTTCCTCGGCTCTTGTTACTATGGAGTTTAGTCCCATCTGATATCCCTGACTCTCTACCTTCTTAGTGCGCTAATCTGCCAATTAATTCTTATTTTGAAAATGGTCCTGTGTATCTCCTCCCTATGATTTTTCTCCTCTTAAATAGTTGATTGTCAAGTTGGTTTCCGTATAACACCCAGTGCTCATCCCACAAGTGCCCTCCTCCGTGCCCGTCTTCCCGGTGATTTTTCTCCTCTGATGCAAAGATGAAGAGCGAGTGGTTTGAGCTGCAGAGCATGTTTATTCAGAACTTCAACTTCATTATTTTCCTAGGCCGCAGCTTCTTTCTGAGACCAGAGGTCTTGCCTGATTTGCTTGCGGATCTCAGTAGGTAGGGCTGGGAGGGCAGAGACAGGCAGGGGTGTGGGGAGACCACAGCCTTCTCTCCACTCCGTCTCCTCCGACGGCTGTGACTGTCTCCTCTCCAGCTCATGGCTTCTTCCAGTTCCCATCTCATTTCTCACTCATCTGTTTGCCTACAACTTAAATCCACAAAAGACTTTGGTTTTTGTTTTTATTTATTTTTGTCTTTTCAAATTAATAGGCTCCATGCGTAATGTGGAGCTCAGACCCCCAACCCTGAGATTAAGGACCCTGGTTTTTAGATTTCTTTTTAAAATATTATTTAAAACAATTTTTAATGCTTGCTCATTTTTGAGAGAGAGGGAAGAGGGGTAAAGAGAGAGGAGACAGAGCTCCTGAAGCAGGCTCTGCGCTGAGCACAGAGAGCCCAACGTGGGGCACAGACTCATGAACCGTGAGATCGTGACCTGAACCGAAGTCTGACGCTTAACCGACTGAGACCCCCAGGAGCCGCAATTATTTATTTATTTCAAATGTTTATTTTATTTTTGTGTGAGAGAGAGAGAGAGAGAGAGAGAGAGAATGAGTGGGATGAGTGGGGGAGAGGCAGAGAGAGGAGGATAGACTATCCGAAGTGGGCTCCTGGCTGACAGCAGAGAGCCCAACTCAGAGCTCGAACTCACCAACCATGAGATTATGACGTGAGCTGAAGTCAAGAGTTGGTTGCTCAACAGACTGAGCCGCCCAGGCGCCCCTGGGTTTCAGGTTTCTAGCAGAGCTACCAACAGCCTTCACACATTGTTACTGCTCCGGGCTTCACGCTGCCCCACTGTCCTCTCCAGGCCTTGTTCCCAGCTGCTGAGATCCTGCCCAGGCCAGGGGCACTGTGAGTCACACAGATGCCCACTGTCGCATGACCAAGAATGATCCAGATGGGCTGGTGACCCACAGCCGGCTTCGTCCTGGCTGCATGTCCCTCCAATTCCAGTTCACGTCGTGGTGCCAAGCTGCCGCCACACCTGGCAAATGTGCTCCTCTGAGTTAGGATGGCTACGTCATGGCTGCCTCTACCTCCTTACCTTGCTTTCACCTACAGCTTTAACTTGCTGGTCTTTGCATGGTCGCCTGTCTCCAAAAGTCCCCAGTCAAATACTTGAACCGGGGTTCTCATGTGGTCCCCACCCCTCTCTTCTGGTGTAAGTTTCACTTGGGTGAACTCTTGGAGGCCTAATAAGAGGGTCTCTGGCGTCTAGAAGAAGAGCCAGGAGCAGATATCACCAAATGCGTGTGTGGCTGGGAGAGAAGAGAGAGAGAAGTTTTTCCCCTTTCTGTGGCTTCTTCTCTTCTGTGGCTTCAGGTGCCTGACAGAGGTGGTTTCTTTCTCTTCCACTCCTTGTCCTCCCCTTGCTCAGAATCATGTGCGGGTGGAAGGTAGAGGGCCCCTGGCAAGGGTTAACCCAGTGACGCCTCTTACCTGTGCGGACGAAGATTCGGTTGGGTGCCATTTTATTTTCCTCTGTCTTCTGACGTGTGAAATGCACGTCGCTGTGAAATGAAAGAGCGTTAGTGTACACACAACACCTAACAAGAGCTTCTTAAGGAAGCTCTGTGTTCTGAACATTTTTAACCCTCTCCGGGATATGACTGATTTAGAACAATGTTCTATAGTGACTTTCTCATACAAGGATGCTTTATGCCAACCAACCCGTTTAACCCAGGATATCATTTACACAAGAAAAAAGTCAGGGTATGTGTGTGTGTGTGTGTGTGTGTGTGTGTGTTTCTTCCTCATTTTGTCTTAAAATCTGATTCCCCATTAAAATTTGTAGAAGACTACTTGAACTTTGCTCTCCATCCATGTTTTTAGGAGCCCTCCTTCTTTGGGGCCCTGAAGCAGTAAGTACTTTTGTGCTTGTATCTAAGAGATCAAAATAAAACTGTGTGCCTTCAAGTCCAGAAGTCAATGTGTGCATCACAAGCATCCCTGGCCAACAAGGTCCTTATTTGCTGACTGAATAAATAATGAAAATATATTGTTCTGAAATTCTGTGATTTAAATGAAGTATATTGGAGCACCTGGGTGGCTCAGTCGGTTAAGCATCTGAGTCTTGATTACTGCTCAGGTCATGATCTCACCACTCATGAGCTCGAGCCCCACATCGGGCTCTGTGCTGACAGCTCAGAGCCTGGAGCCTGCTTGGGATTCTGTGTCTTCCTCTCTCTCTCTCTGTGCTGCCCCTCTTGTGTTCTGTTTCCCTCTCTTTCTCTGTCTCTCAAAAATAAATAAACATTAAGAAAAAAAATTTTTAGGGAAAAAAATGAGCTCTGACTAGAACCTCTTAAATTGTGTGTCTCTCTGTCTTCCTCAGAAAGCTTCCTCACGTAGTCTCAGGTAGAAGGGACCCAAAGAAAGAGGCGTAGCTCCAAAGTATGGAAAGAGAGCTCTCTCTGTCTTTATTTGCTTCTATACACCCTCTTTGACCCACTCATGTGAGCAGAGGGCAGGAGGTTCTTCAGATCTGCCCGGCTTCAGACACCTCCCAGCCATGGTGAAGAAGCGGTATTGTTTCTGAAGAAGGGAGTGGGGGGCGTGCACACACATTCTCTGGGGGAATAAGAAGAGTTCTAGGGTGACAGCCTTCTTTGCCCCCGACAGCCCCGTGAAGACGTCATCCTGCTGGCCTCTGACTGCCAATGGGACATACGTTGTCAGCCTCTCTGTCCTTCCATTGTGAGTAAATTGCATTTTCCCTTGGATTAAGATTTTTCTCTTCATCTTTCATCTTCTGCGGTTTCACTATGATGTCATTAAATACGAATTTGTTTTTCTTTATTTTGCCCAGGACTCAAGTTTCTTCAATTTGAACGTACAAAGCTTTCTTCAGGGATACACAAAACAACAACAAAGAGATTGTTGTATAACCACCATAATGGCAAACATTAAAAATTATCAGGTGTTGGCAAAGATCTGGGGGGAATTCTGATAAGCCATTGACGAAAATATATAAACTATTGTGGTACTTCTGGGGTGCTATCTGGGAATGCTAGCAAACCAGGATATTGGATAACTTATGACCAAGCAATTATTTATAAAAAGCAATTATAATTTTAGGTACTGATCCTGGAGAAAACTTGCATTTACAGGGAAAAGAGGCACACATACACCTATTCAGCGAAGCATTGTTTGCCATTGGAAAAAAGAGAAAGAGAGGGAAAGAAATTAATAAAAAAGTCCACTAATGGGAGAATGAGTAAATCAACAATGGTATATTCGTAAATAAAATCTTGAACCGCAGTTAAAACAAGTGAATCTCATATACCTACTGCAGGTAACAAATTTGGAAGACAAATGAGGAAAAGAAAAAGCTAACTGTAGATGGTAAGAGCAACCCTATGCCCTCTGCATACGTTTTAACCACCCACAATGACTATACTTCCACAAGAGGCAGGAACCATGAGCTCTCAAACGCTCTCTATAATGGAACGGAATTTTTAAAAAATATGATAACAGAATGAAAGCCCAACCGAGAAATCTCTCTCCCCCTGGAAGTCAAAAGGAAGATTTGAAATGATTCCTGGTTTGAAGACATAAGATAAATTATAGAATCAGACATGACAAGCTGTGTAGGAACGGTCGGCAATACTAGCCAGACACGACTGTGTTTGGGGGGGTAATTGGGGGACTAGTGACCAGCCTGGGGTCTCCCCGAGGTCACAGGGCTCAGGAAACAGAGCCCTTCTCTGAGTCCATTTTGGACCGGGTGGTGCTGTGGCTTCGCCAGGTGTGTGCCGTGGGGACAAAGGGGTGGAGATAGAATACACCCTCCCTCCTGCCTCCCTGCAGTGCTAGGTGGGAAAGCACAGTAGAGGATCATGGAATGTTGTAGAACGTGGAGGCACGTAACACGGGCAGTATCAGGAGAGGGAAGCTCGGGGTGCAGGAGGGTGAGGGCATCCGGAACAGTCTGGTGCTGGGGGCTGGGTGGCCGAGCGCAGGCAGATGCCTGCAGCTCTGTGTCCTTGAGCGAGCGCAGCCTGACCCAGCCCCGCTTAAAAGGCAAGTGGGAGCACGGGGCAATGGCAGACGAAGTCTGCTCGAGGTGTGGGGCTGGGGGGCGAGGGAAGCCAGGGAGGAAAACGCTAGACTCTGAGGAGATACGGCTCAGAAGCCCATACCTCCGCAAAGAGGGATCAGGGCACGTGCTGTCCCCCGGCAGCTGGCAGGTGAGGCCAGAGCATTCTGGTGCCCTCACCGGAGGAGGCCACTTCTCTGGGCAAGTGGCAATAACAAGGCAGGGGAACTGAACTACCCAGAGCCTTCAGGTACAAATGTCCCTCCTGCCTAAACTCAGGTGCTAAACCAACAACAAAACGAGAACCTCTACCATGAACACTTTTCAGTGATGAGATACGCGAGGCCATTTCGTCCCCGGGAATGACGCCAAGGGGCGCCATGACAGACCACTAGAAAGGGCAAACGGGTGGGCCAGTCCCACTCAGATCCAATAAGGAAACTTAATATTCCTTCGGCCCATTTTAGATTTTGGCAAAGCCAGACCTCCCACCAAGAGCTTGCTTGGCTCTGTCCTTCATATCACCCAGTAGATACAGTTATTACAGAATATGAAATTGGGGCGCCTGGGGGGCTCAGTCGGTTAAGCGTCTGACATCGGCTAAGGTCATGATCTCACGGTTCGTGAGTTCGAGCCCCGTGTCGGCTCTGTGCTGACAGTGTGGAGCCTGCTTCGATCCTCTGTCCCCCTCTCTTCCTGCCCCTCCCCCACTGGTTTGCTCACTTTCTCTCAAAATAAATAAATAAAATCAATAAACTTTAAAAAAAGAATGCAAAATTGGGAAGCTAAGAGCATGGTGTGTATTAATTCACATAAACTTTGGATATTAGCATGGAAATGTTAATAACTAGAAATGACCGAATTCTCTGTGTTTGTCTGTTGTGGGAATAAACCCCCCTGGGGATGGATCAAAAATATCTGGAAATTACTTGAAACCGGCGGATAACTAAATGAGTATTATGACTAAAATGTGCTATAATCCATTTGTATTCTTTTTGTCTCCTAAGGGTTGGTTCTGGCAAACTCTATGCAGTGAGTACTGCAAAAATTACATAAGGCCTCAAAAGCTGTTCTGTGTAAACTTTGCGAGTGGGGGATCTTTGACCATAACATTTGGTAGATTAACTCTTATAATTCTATGTATGTATTGACTCTATGTTCTGACATTTTGACCAGTTTGGGGAGAACTGAATTGTCCCAACGTTGAACCCAGGGTTGTGCTGGCAAATGCATAACAAATGGTTCTTTGGGTGGAAAGGCCTGATTTACAGGGTTTGCCAGTTTCCGTGGCAGAAATACTTCCACCATGGCTGACTGCGAGCCACGAGCGGACGCCACTGAATGCAGAATCAGGCGAGGTGTATGCTGCCCACCTTGTAAGTTGGCTTAGGCCACTGTATGTACCCATGGGCGTGTGTGCAACTGCAGTTTTGTTTTTTTTACTAAAATTTCTGCCCCATAGATATACAAGGGCACTAGTGAAAAAAATATATAAAGGGAAAATAAAATAAATTCATGTTGGGAGCTCGAATGGTGATAATTGACAGTGGATTTCTTTTTAACGTTAAGAAGTGGTCTTTGTGTATATTCCGCACTTTATTCTTATCTTTTATTACACGAACAAGGTATCGACGTATCATTCCGAGTCTTCTGAACTCTTAGTTTCAGCGGGGTTCTCCTAGAACCTAGAAGCTAGGGTTTCTTCCCTTCCAGATGTTGGTGTGAGGTCAATACTGACCAAAGAGTCAATGACATCTGTTCATTGTGAAGCCAGTCTCGGGATGATTGAGCTGAGGGCCAAGACAGAAGAATAGATATGGAGCCTTCTGAATTTGGGGCAGTCAACACAATACAGACCCATGGTTTGGTATGATAATATAGTGGGTTTCCAAAAAATGAATATTAATGAGGGGCACCTGGGTGGCTCAGTAGGTTAAGCATCTGACTTTAGCTCAGGTCATGATCTCATGGTTCGTGAGTTCGAGCCCCACATCAGGCTCTGTGCTGACAGCTCAGAGCCTGGAGCCTGCTTAGGATTCTGTGTCTCCCTCTCTCTCTGCCCCTCGCCACTGACTCGCATGAGCACGTACTCTCTTGCTCTTTCTCAAAAACAAGTAAACATTAAAAATTTTAAAAATAAGGTAAATTAATATTAACTCAAACAAGGAAAATTAGTTGTTGAACAGTGAAAATGGATTTAAAGACTCTTCTATAAGAGTAAGGCAAGAAGAGCTTATTAAAATAGAGTTGAACTGGAAATATGACTAAGTATTATGAGCATTTTTTAAAGGAGGCTTTATCTGTTCTGTCCCTACAGCGATTCATGCTGTTGGACATTTTTGCTATCAGCCTGGCAAATTCTAGCCGGAATGTGGAACAAGCTTATTTCTAGAGCCAGTGCCTGTGGTTCCTATAGCTTTTCTCCAGTGAAAAAAACAAGTGCCCTTGGAGAATAGTTGATTTCATATTTCTGGGCAGGGAAAAAAATTCAAGATTCGTTTGTGGATCCTAGATGCTGAAAGAAAACAAGGTTGTCTTAGGGTATCAGGGAGCCATGGTCCATAATGACGTGATAAAGAAAAAAAAAAGATAAAACAGAATTGTCTGAAAAACATACCTGGTCTCTGAAATTGTTTACTTACAAAGCTGTGTGTGAGGCCTACACTTAAGTTTTTAATTTTTTTTAATGTTTTTTATTTATTTCTAGGAGAGAGAGAGAGAGAAAGACAGCGTGAGCAGGAGAGGGTCAGAGAGAGAAGGAGTCACAGACTCCAAAATAGGCTCCAGGCTCTGAGCTGGCAGTCAGCACAGAGCCCGACGTGGGGCTCGAACCCATGAACCGCGAGATCATGACCTAAGCGAAAGTCGGACGTTTAACCGACTAAGCCACCCAGGCGCCCCTACACTTAAGTTTTTAAAACCAATAGTTTGAGAAGGCCAGATGCTGGTGTTCTCTCTGAGGAGACAGGCGGGACATGATCAGTATTCCAAACCTCTCTGTGACAAGTGGTTTGTTTGATTAGCAGAGGATGCCAGCAGATTGGAGAGAACCAGGGCTTCTGGCTATTCCAGGGATGACCTTTAAGAGTTCTTTGCCTTCTCTTTCCCAGTAGTAAGTCATGGTCTTCCCTAAGAATTGCGAACAATTGCGCAGTGGGTAGAGGCACCCGCTGAAAGCCACACTAAGTTTTTATCAACGAGCTGGCCCATGTGCACCACGGGAAATTATGTCGTGTTGCCCTGGTCATTTATCCAACAATGGTTCACTGTGCATAAGCAGGGGCTCTACATCTTATATCTGGGTGCTTTTTATTACTGTGCAGCTGTGTGCCTCAGATGGCAAATCAGAGCCAGTTTCTCTACCTGCAGTAGGGCTGACTAAGCCTCACCCCAAGGGGAGAAAATCCTACAGATATCACAAAATGTGAAATGGACACCAATGGACACAAAATTTTGAGTGGGCGATATAAAATTTTAAAAAAAGCATGTTGGTAAAAAAGTATTGAAGTATTTAAAAAGGAGAACGATAAATTAAAGGGAAAATAGGCCATAAAAATGTAAATTGTAACCAAGCTTTTCTTTCTACGGAGATTTTAAAATTAAAGAAGGGAAAGAAATACGTGAAGGGGCCGAAAGTAGAATGATCAGGAGTAAGTTTGGTCATAAATATGTGAGGGGAAAGATGCTTGCGTTAAAAACAACCATGGGGCTCCTGGGTGGCTCAGTCGGTTAAGCGTCTGACTTCAGCTCAGGTCATGATCTCACGGTTCGTGGGTTCGAGCCCCGTGTTGGGCTCTGTGCTGACAGCTCAGAGCCTGGAGCCTGCTTCAGATTCTGTGTCTCCCTCTCTCTCTGACCCTCCCCTGCTCACGCTGTCTCTCTCTCTCTCTCTCTCTCTCTCAGAAATAAATAAAAACATTAGAAAATAAAATAAAAACAAAACCAAAAACAACCAAAATCAAGTGGAAAATGGGGCAACATGAAGCCCGTCAAAGTCTGTAAGAATTAAAGGTATGATGAAATGAGGGAAGAAAAGGTCAGTTTAACACCAGTTGATGCCTCTGATAACATTCCGTTCTTTGCAAAATCTGTATCTTAGACATGGACTGTGGTTGATGCAAAATCGGAATGGGGCCACCCAACAGCAGATTTATCCTCAACAAAGGACAGCACGGTTGCCCAACGTATGCAGGGAGCAGCTTAAACCACTTTCCCCAAAGGAGGCGATAGCGCAGCTGTGCTTTCGGGCAAAGTCAGCAGCGCCGTGGGACAGTCTGATGGGTGTGCGGTGGAGGTACTCGGCGGAAACACTGTGGAATTAAGGGAGGACCAAAGGAAAGACGGTTTCGGCTTTGTATAACACACACATCCGAGGGTGGGGGGCTTCCAGCCTCTGGGCGCCACCCACGGGCCGTGTCAACTACTTGGGATTGGCAGGTTCTCTGTGCTTAGACTTCTCTGCTCTGGGGGTCGCCGTGAGGACTCCCAGTCAGGTGGGATTCGCGGTAATGGGGAAAGCCGACTGCTCTAACCAGCCTGTCCCTGTTGCTGTCGTCTCTGAGGGACAAGTAAGACCCCCCGAGAGAGGATGACAAGGGAGGCTGTCAACATACGAACACCCTCCTTTACTGGCTCTTTAAACAACTGAATAGAATGTGTGGCCATTTGAGGAATATTGCTCTGGGCGCCGCTGAACACCTACTGCATGGATGTACGTGAAGAAAAATCCAGAAGGCTCTTTCTCTAGGCCTTCCATACGCAGTAGAAACAGGGGTGTTTGCAGATGGTGAACAGCAACCTGAGGAGAAGAAAAGGCCGCCTTTAATGGTGACTGTTGAGGAAGGCTGGGTGGTCAGCCCCGTCGTGCGCACTCAGAAAAACTTAGGGCTACTTTGAAGAGTTCAAGTTCTTTGCTTTGCAAGTTGGGGACTTGACGTTGTTTTTGGAACGGAAGTACACATGCTGCCTCCTTCCTGCGGTCACAGGCCGGTGAGTCCACAGTCCAAATAATGTTCTCCTTACAAAGGCCCTCCTTCCCACCCTCACACTCCTGCTTCCTTGCTTTGCTTCCTTATTCAGACTGAACAGGTTTTTATCATGCAGTTTTTGAGGAAGCCCCGTGGCTTGCTGGCTCTTGCCAGAACTATCTGACCTTTATGTAGCCCAGCTGTGGCTTTCCCTCTAGGTCCTGGGCCGTGGCTTCTACCTGACACTGAGAATCTGGGCCCTCTGCTTGGTTTGCTCCTCTGGCTGAATTCTAATACTCACGGGTATTATGCCTCCATCCCAAGACACGAGTGGACTCATCGTGGGTCAATCTCTCTCCGTTCTCTAAAATTCCGGAAAGAATTCTGCCTAAATTACTTCTTTGCCAACATTAGCGTCACACAGAATGGATCCTATGAGTGGAGGTTTGGAATCAGAAATGTGCCCATGCATAGGCACCATGTGAGTCTGTAAGGCAGCTGAGGTTCTAAAACAATTCCTTAGGACCACGGACCTGCAGAGCGGTATAGACATCAGGGTCTTTAGTCCAATGAGCCTCATTTAACAGGCAAAACAGAAACAAGAACAAAAACAAAAAAAAGCACAACAAAAGCAAAACAAACAAACAAACAAACAAACAAACGAATAAATGAAAAACGAGTTCCAGAAAGGGTAAATGAATTGCCACCAGTCTCTCAGAAGCTTGACGGGCAGCCACACTGGCTGGCCCAGAGTTTGGACACTTTCTATCCTTAAGAAGGCGCTGGTCAGGTGCATCATTCTGGAGGTCGTGAGAACAACGTTGAGTAGGGAGGGAGGCAGGGAAAACAGCCAGGAGGCTGTGTTGAAGGTCCAGGAAAGAGATGATGCGGGAATGGAGTCCAGTGTTGAAAGAGTAGACAGTCTCTCATCCATTGGACTCGGATGACGAATGACACAAAGATCCCTCCACCCCATCTGTATCATTTCCAAGGATCAGCCATTCCAGGCCGAGGTCATATTGCGTATGCGGAGGCGGGAAAGGGACCGCCGGGTGGGGGGTACGGGTCCCGTGTAGGAGGCCTGTGGGAGCGAAGGAGGAGATAATCCACTCCCGTGGAATTAGCATTTCCTTACAAAGTCTGCAACAGATGTTCGTCGTGCCCAAGGACTCAGCCCTTGGGAAGTTTCCAGAAGAGCATGGAGCATGGACGGGGGCTGCAGCAAGCTCCATACTACAGAGAATGCAAACACAACCACCAGAGCGTCCGTCTGTGAAGTGGGAGCCATGGCACAGGGGCAGAGGAGGCTACGATGGAGGCTGTGGAAGGAGGCCAGGAGGAGCGGGGAGCACGCGTCCCGAGCCAGGCCAACAGCAGCCCTGAGGACAGGGGGACACTGCCGAGGAGACGGAAGGTTCTGGGGCTGCCCCCCTGGATGGGCACTGCCTTGTTCCCAGACTCTTAAATGTACGTCTACGTCAGAGCCACCTCCGCACACGCTGGACGTTAAGTGTTTACTCACAACTAGTGTTGCTTCCAAGTGTGGGTTTTTTTTTAAATTTCTAATGTTTATTCACTTTTTTGAGAGACAGAGACAGATAGAGCACGAGCAGGGGAGGGACAGAGAGAGAGGGAGACATAGAATCCGAAGCAGGCTCCAGGCTCTGAGCTGTCAGCACTGAGCTCGATGTGGGGTACGAACCCACAAACTACAAGATCATGACCTGAGCCGAAGTCAGTTGCTTAACTGACTGAGCCACCCAGGCGCCCCCCAAGTGTGGTTTTTAGAATGAACTGAAGCATTCCCACGCCCGGCCCAGCCACTTACCCATCAGCACAGACCATATGGCCACCGGTGCTCCCCTTTCACTGACATGGGTCACAGATTTACTGAGCTATGACCTGTTAGCTATTTCATAAGCTAATATGCTACCTTATTTAGTCATAATTCAGCTCTTTGAATGCTATTCTATTTTAGAGAAGAAGAAAATAAGGTTCAGAGACCCACCCAGAAGTCATACAGCAGATATTTAGAGGATCTGAGATTCTGACACAGAGGCAAGCTCTACCTGGTAAGCCCTACCTCTTTTCCTGGTAAATTGCAAGGCACCGACACTGCCTGGGGTCCCCCTCCGAGGCTGCCAGGGCTTGGGGTTCCTTCTCTCTGTGCCCACTGCTGCCGTCCCCCGCCCCGTCAAAGTGGCTGACATGCTCCTACGTGCCGCTCCACCCTTTGGATACAGGTGGGGCAAGACCAAAGATCAGAGGCCCCAGCTTCAGACGGGAATTCGCACTGACCCACACTCTGGTTCTGGCCTTGCTCCGGATGTGTGCCAGACCCCATTTCCCCCAGATTTGCTCCATCAGCTGTCTCACTCATCTTCATTTTTAAAAAAAGCCATCACTTATTGATGGCTTACTATGTGCGAGACACTGAACTTTAGATGTATTTAATTTTCACACACCCCTTTGAGACACACAGCTTTGTTACCCAAGTTTTATAGAAGAAGAAATAAATCAGGCCAGCGACATTCATAAGTTACTCAGGATTCCGTAATTCGTAAGGAGCGGACCTGGGACGTGAGCCCAGCAGACTGGACCCTGGCTTTCTCGACCTCCATATTGACCCGCCATCCCCTGAGATCCTGGATTTTGCCAAACTTGCCTGACTCCACACTGACTGCCGCTCTTGCAGCTCAACAACTCACGGGTAGCGTGGCCTCCTCAGCCTCCAGTGACGGTCCTGTGTTATCTGACCTGACGATGTCCTTCACGTGGACACCTCCTGCCCCAGAAGCTTTGTGAGGCCCCCGGCAACACCGTCCAAATGTTCTGGGCTTAACCCTTTGGAAAATCTATTCCCCTGTGCCAGCCTAGACCTAGTTCAATGCCGAAGACCCAGATGTGCACTAAAGCCAGGCACGCCCCGAACTGCTGTTTGCTGGGTGAACATCTGTCTAGACTATTTCCTACTTATTAAAGGCCTGCTGAAATCTAAATGGAAAATGTGGGTTTATTGCGCGTTTTGTCAATCGCATGCATTATCTGTGCCTTACCAGGCTGAAGTAACAGACACAGCAGCAGTTGACTAATGGGTCAAAGGCAAGCAGGATCTGTGCCTTGGCCCAGGTGACAGCCCTGGGCA